ATGTTAGACACTAGACCCTTATAGCTACAACACTAGCAACGAAGCACAATAAATTTGTTTTTATTTCTTCATAGATCTACCTCCTGTAAATTTTGTTAGGTTAATTAATATCTATTATATCATTTCTATTTAAAACTGTATAGCCTGTCCTCATTTATCAACAGTTACACTGTTGATCCCTGAGGTGCTCCGCATGATAGCTTGTTTAGGCTGGGTTGTTAATGTTAATTTTTGAAACAAAACAAAAACAATACTTGATTATAATCAAACTACAAAACAACTTAATAACGAAATAAAAACTTGCAAACTGTTGCTAGTTTGCTTTACTTAACAAAAATAGCTAACAGGAACATCTTTATCATCAGTTCCCTCATCTCCACACACCCTCAACTCAATATAGTCAGTAGTGGTAGTGTTACCATAGTCTCTGTGAAACTATGGGATACCAGGAGCATTACAACAAGGTGATTCATCAGAACCACAACTTTGACCATCCCAGAGTGGATCAGATGTGTACAATTGGTATTGATATAGTGAAGCAGTAACAATCCCTGATTCACAGATATAATGATTACCAATGAATGATTAAACTTGATGTGTAGCACCAGTAGAACAAGGACAGTTATGAAGATTGTTGTTATTATCATTATTTGCTGATATTAATGTCCATATATGTTGACGAGGAGATCCACGTGTGATACTAACACCATCAACATAATCACCATTCAAATTATTGTGATTAGAACCAGTAGACCCGAATTTTATGGAAGAAAAACATAAAGACTTCAAACAAATGATTAGCTACTAAAATTTATTGGGCAAAGCCCACTGATGTGAAGTATTTTTTATGTACATATGTGTGTTTGGGGGTGTAATTGGGAGGCATGGCTAGAAGGCGGAGCGCCTTAATGTTTTAAACTCTTCCTAGTAATTAAAGCTGATTTACAATTACTGTATCTACACACATACACACAATAAAATACCTTAAACGTGTAATTTTCTTCTCTTTAACAATAACTGATGGCTGTCATAAAACCAGTCAGTGTCTCTCATCTGGAGTATTGTATTTATGTGGACACAATCACAGACTATGTGAAAACTGCTCCAATATGAGTACATGCCCTGTACATCAAAGAGACCGTAGAAAAACATAATTATTGCATAAAGAAAGATGCATGCCAAAATATCATTAGGGGAGGAGTGTAGATAGGAGGAAATAATAATGAATAAATAATTAGTAAAACACAAAAGATGTTAATATTTATACTGATGTAACTATGTCATTATTCAATTTATCAACAGTTACATTAATTGCTTGCTCTGCATAATAGCTTTTTTAGGCTGGATCAACATGATTGTTAAATTTCTATAAATTTTTGAAATAATATTATTTAAACTAAACAAAAATACTCAAACAACAAAATGAATAATAACAAATATAAAACTTGCAACTGTTACAAGCATTGTTTTACTGAACATAAATCTCATAGTAGCTAACAGGAGCATCTTCATTATGAGTTCCCTCATCTCCACACACCCTCAACTCAATATAGTCAGTAGTGGTAGTGTTACCATAGTCTCTGTGAAACCATGGGATACCAGTAACATTACAACAAGGTGATTCAAGAGAACCACAACTTTGACCATCCCAAAGTGGATCAGATGTATACAATTGATATTGCCAGCTGCTAGTAGCCGCTGATTCACAGAAATAATGATCACCAATAAATGATTGAACTTGTTGTGTAGAACCAGTAGCACAAGGACAGTTATGAGCACTATTGGTATCAAATTCATGAATCCCGGCTAGTAAAGACCAGACATGTTGACGAGGAGATCCATGTGTGATACTAACACCATCAACATAATCAGCATTCAAATTATTGCGATTAGAACCATGATAATCCTGAACTGCATCAGGAGATCCATATTGATATCCAGTTACTCTACCACACACCTGAGAATAACTGATACCATTAGATGGGAACTGAACTAATGTACAACTGCCTCCACTTGATGTTGCTCTACCACAAGCTCTAACTCCTCCTGACTGGTACAGTCTAAACCCAGAAGGACAGTTCACTGTAGAGTCACTCATATCCAGATAGTCTTGTCCATCCTCCTCCTGAACCACACAATGTTCCCATATTACAGTAAGTATAATATGAACTGATTCCATTAGCAGCGACCAGATCATACACACCAGATGGACTGCTGGGTTTTTCATCTTTGATTTGTTTGCAAGAGGTAGGTAGTGCAGTAGAAACATTGTGTAGTACTAATAGTTCTTGTGCTATTAGTAGTATATCATCAACCACTCCAGAAGTAGAGGTACTGGTGTCTTGTATATTAGAGAGAGTACCAATAATGTTATTAAGTTTTATCGCTAAGCTACTAACTGTCTCTATGACTTTATTCAATAGTAATGTATTGTTCTCATTGAAGGTTTCTTCTTCGTTACACTTTCCAATGAAATCAACCTTGTTAGCTGAATCCTGCATTGTGTTGTTGAGTTGAGTGATAATGCTCAGTACTAGTGCATCACCATCAGATAATGAGGATAAGCTAGGATTCAGTGACTGGTAAACACCAGCAACAATATCATCAACCCATTGAGTAAAATTAGAACACTGCTGCTGATTACTATCAGTAAGCTTTTGAACAACATTAGCCCATTGAGTGAAATTAGGACACAGCTGCTGACTATTATTGTTCATTGCCTGCAGTGAACTGTTATAGTAAGAGTTGGTATTAGATCCAGTGCCAGTAGCATCTTGTGCAGTCCAGTTCAGTCCAATCATGATAATAATAGTAACCAGTAGTAACAGCATGATACACATCAATACTGTTAGTATAATAATTGGTATACTCCACACTGACTGATGGGATGATTTACTATCAAATACAATATGAGGCTGAGGCTCCATCTCTCCTTTAACAAATGGAGCCAGTTCATATTCATTCTCTCGTATTGAACTAGTGGGTTTATGAGAAGTCTCCTCCATAGTTGCAAAATACCAAATCGAGCTAAGATCATCCTTTATATACTGTATCTCAGTTGGGGTTTGGGTTGGAAGCAGAAGCAGTCAAACAAGTACATGGAATTCAAAAAACACTGCAACATAATAACAAATCACAAAGCTTTTAACAAAGTCACTATACATGTATGTTAGACACTAGGCCTTTATTGCTACAACACTAGCAACAAAGCACAATAAATTTGTTTTTATTTCTTCATAAATCTACCTCCTGTAAATTTCGTTAGGTTAATTAATATCCATTATATCATTTCTATTTAAAATGTATAGCCTATCCTCATTTATCAACAGTTACACTGTTGATCCCTGAGGTGCTCTGCATGATAGCTTGTTTAGGCTGGGTTGTTAATGTTGTATACATTTTTAGAATAATTTTTGAAACTAAACAAAACAATACTTGATTGTAATCAAACTACAAAACAACTTAATAACAAAATAAAAAACTTGCAAACTGTTGCTATAGTTTGCTTTACTTAACATAAATCTCATAATAACTAACAGGAACATCTTCATAATCAGTTTCCTCATTTCCACACACCCTCAACTCAATATAGTCAGTAGTGGTAGTGTTACCATAGTCTCTGTGTAACCATGGGATACCAGGAACATTATAACAAGGTGATTCAGCAGAACCACAACTTTGACCATCCTAGAGTGGATCAGATGTATACAATTGCCTTGCCCACATGGCAGCAGCCCCTGATTCACAGAAATAATGATCACCAATGAATGATTGAACTTGTTGTGTAGAGCCAGTAGCA